CAGACAGACAGACAGACAGACAGACAGACAGACAGACAGACAGACAGACAGACAGACAGACAGACAGACAAGCAGACAGATAAATATAAACAGACATAGATAGAGAGAGTCACATAGAGAAAGATAATAGTAGAAAGGGAGAAGAGAGAAGTAGAGAAAGCAGAAATTAATGTGTGCACAGAGGAACAAACAAAAAACAAAAAGAAAGAAAAAAAGAAAAAGAAAAAAAGGCCTGACAAAACACCAGTGCACACCTCTAGTGAACGCACACACACACAAACAACTACATACAATTGTTGTGCTTGTAAATGTAAGACGTTTGTTAGAAGCAGATTTCGCCGATGTTCTCAAAGAATCTACACGAAGAAATCTTCATCAACTGACAGAATAACAGTCTGTAACTTGAGTCATTTACAGAGTTGTAATCTATTAATCTAGATCTATCCCCTGTCAGCTTACACAGAGAAATCTTCAAAAGTTGACTGAGGTAGATTCAAGATTCCGTAACTTGTCCCCTTCTTTTGGTGGATCTAAATTTATAGAAACCCTCCCGTCTCATAAAGGGTTTTATTTTGTAGCTTTTTGGAGGTTTCTTAGGGCCCGGAACACGATTTTGGCTTTGAAAAACGTCACAAATTGTTAGTTTAGATGTTACGGCACTTTATTTCAAGGGGGGGTTGCCCCTGAACCCCCCTTCCCCTACCGGACCTACTACACTGCTATAACGTACTCGCACGTCAGGGGGAGACCCCCTGAAACCCCCCTAATGTCTATAAAAGCATGCATTATCCAAAAACAACAACATGAATTTAAAAATTAACTTTAAAAAACTGACCTTATTCGTATATCCGACGGCACTAAAGTGGTGAAGGAGCTGACTTCCGGTAGTGGATGTGACGCGAAACAGGAGTGCTTCTGTAAAAATACCCAGCCACGCTTCTAATATTCGGCACTAATAATATACATAGGCCTATTTGTTTTGCAAGTGACGTAACACTCTTACTAAGACCAAAAGCTCTAGATCTATTATTCTTAGCTTTCTTTCTTTTTTTCCACATTACTCTCCAGATTCTATAACTTGTCTTCTTTTCTTTGTACGGTACTCTCTAGTCTAGTAACACCTCTAATTCTCGGAACAGTATTAGATCTATATACTTACTTGTGCTGCAAGTGCCATAAAACTCGTATTAAAAGCATAAACCCTCTAGACCTAGCAGTACCTCTAAACTGTGGCATCATCATCATCATCATCATCATTGCCTTTCTCACCCTGCACCAGGCTATAGGCCACGGACAAACACTTTCTCACCCTGCACCAGGGTATAG